CGTCCACTACAGTAACATTGACTTCAATAGCCGTCCACATCGGATGGAGTCAAAATGCATAACTGTTTGGTCACATGCCACACATGTAGCTCCGCTGAACAGTGGGTCGGAGGTGATTGAGGCTTGCAGTCTGTCATCGGGCAGGAAGGAAGCAAAACGATGATATTTCGTTGTTCACGCGAGGACTTCAATGAACCGGGGTCCTCAGCGACAAAACAAGCAGAAAAAAATAGAAAAAGCATAAGAAACTTAAGCTCTTCCGTTTCTCCGCTCGCTCAAGCTCCTCCATTTTTCGATTTACAAAATCTTCCACATTTAATGCAGTGATGTTTGGTAACCGATATTGTCGTTGTTGGACTGCTCAACGGAGTAGAGTACTGGTACATACCCTTGCAACATAAAGTCACAGTCTCCCTTGCAGGCAGGCAAGTACGCAAATGCTGATGGCTCCGGGAACTGCAAGGCACTATGGTCAGTTACAGGGCAGAATGGCAGATAGTTTTGGCTTGCGCCAATGCTGCAGCATGCAGCGGGGCACTGAAGAACGTTTGGTAACTATGGTCTGCGAAAGCAGGTCCATCGGTACCACTTTACATACCAATTAAGAAACACGTGGTTCAGTATCTGACCCCGTAGTTTCACTAAACAAAACGTACACTTCTCATAGCTCTTATCGTTGTATCCAACGAACGGATCGGGCTTCGTTTGCCGGCACTGTTCACAGAAAAGACAGCGCGATAACGGGCAAAGCGTCAGTGACTGACTCCGCTGCTGCACCATTGTTTGAAAGATTGTGCTTCGAGCAATTCCCAATTAAACGTTATGACACTGCACTGCGTCGCCAACGATAAGAAGACTGACATCGGTGGAATTCCATCAACGGATTTTGTTCTAGGACATGGATGTTCAAAATTTTCTTGGAACCCAGAAGGCCGTTAGAGGTTTTACGTGAGTGCACAGAGCAGATGGAAACAGTTTAATTCTGTCTCTGGGGAGGATGTTCCAGCGCTCCACTCGATGCTAGCTTGAGGCCTAAGTTCGAGACATAGGTCAGAATTCGGTACTTCGGAGCACTGTCGATTCGCGGGCCCTGCGGCCCGCAGCTCGAGCGATCTTAGGGGCTTTAAAATGCGAGCAAAACGGGCTTTATAGGGGCTTTTCTTCCCGCGCGGCACTTCGTAGCAGCCTACGAGCTGGCTACGAGCAGCCTACGAGCACCCTACGAGCAGCCTACGAGCAGCCTACGAGCAGCCTACGAATAGCCTACGAGCAGCCTGGAGCTTCGATCCCTGGCAGCTCGCGAGCCGGCTTCTATTCCGAGCCTCGATCCCTGGCAGGCTTCGATCCCTGGCAGCTCGCAAGCCGGCCTCCAAACAGCTCGCGAGCCCTCCGCGCGCCCTCCGACTGCTTGTGAAGCAGCGCGCGCCCAGTTTGCTCGCACATTAGAGCCCCTAAAATTCCTAGAGCTCCTGCTTCTAGGCCCAAGAATCGATACAGTCTCCAAATACCGAAGTCTAGCCTATGTCTCGAACTTAGGCCTGTAGCTGTCGTAGAGTGGAGCGCTGGAACACCCTCTCCAGAGAGAGAGATTAACTGGAAGCAGGTCGCAACAGTGACTCCTCTGAAGGAGCGCCACGCCAAGCACAGAGAAACCCACTCCTTACAGCAAAAAACTGCCTTTGAAGGACTCCGGCTGTCCAGCGTGCATGCGGGTTGACGGCAGATTTTTTACAAAGACCAGAGTTGAGCAAAAAGCTTTGATATTCTTCGCAAAAACCACCCATAAAACGACTTCGTGTGGCTTCTTCTTCTTCTTGTTTTGTGTGTGTGATTGTGTTTTGTTTCATTCAGTCTTCTTTTATCATTGTATTCTTTTTTTTGGCGTGGGCAGGCCTCAATGACAGCAGATTGCTGCACTCGGTCCCAGCAAGAACTTTGAGAAAAAGCCAAGAACAAAATCAGCTGTACAAAGAAAAGAAGACAATAACAAGGTGGGACAGGCCGCGACTAGCAGACTTAGCCGGCAGACGTCGCTCAGCAAGACAATGCCCTAAATAGTAGCATCCTCATTATAAGGACCCCAAGATAAGGTACCCCTAATTTTCGGAAACTCCTATATTAATATGGCTCGATGCAGTAGATTGTTGCCCAGAGCAGCCCTCGAAGCGCGAGTCGGACGGCGCTCAGTTTCTCTAAGCAAGGCGACGAGAAAGAGGAGGAGTAGTTAATACTTGTCTATAATACAGGTAGTAGCAGCCAGCAATAACAGTTAGAGAGATGTGATGCTAGATTCTGCTAGATGGCAGCAGCAATAATTAACTGGCATTCTGTAGCTCAAGGAACGAAAAGCTTCGCGGGAGCTCCAAAAAGCCTACTCACCGGTATGGTCAGCAAAGGCAGGTCAATTGCAGCATTGGATATGCGACACATTTGTTCAAATGGGCCGACACAGGGGCTTCGTAAAAAACGTGTCCAACAGCCGAAGGAACACGATTCACTACACAACTTTGTTACAAACGCGCACGGTTGTGCCAACCTGGTGTTCTGACGGCTTTGGTGGTGGGGTAAGAACATCTCCCGTTCCCACCCCTGCGCTTGTTACTTCGCACAAACACCGAACAACACGGCCAGCCATCAACACAAGATGCATACCAAAAATGCCCGAAAAATGTCCAGTTCACATTTCTGCACTCTCTGCTTCAAATAACGACCGTGCAAACACTGTATCACATCCCTTAAAACGTACCCCCTCACTGCGCCCCTCTCTGGTCATTCGTAGACGGCAAGTGATCACATTTCATAATCCACACGCCCATGACGCGATCTTGCACGAGCAACTGACGCGAGACTGGATTTGCGACACTCGTTCACATGGGGAAGGCAGGACGACACATTACACAGTTTTCATTAAGTCAGCATGCACGATTGTGAACATTTCGTGTTTTGATGGCTGTGACGGCACTGCTCACTGGGGTGCTTGGGGTTGTGGGTAAAACACATCCGTTCACGCCTCTGCGCTTGTTACTTGGCACTTCAACAACCGAGCAAACACGGCCAACCCTCAACACAGGATGCATGCCCTGAAGATATCCGTCTTGGCTTGAAACAAGAACCGTGCAAGGATGGTGTCACATCGTTTCCGTGCGCCCTCGCATTATGTAAGCATTGGCAATTGGTCAAAGCTGATACCGCACCTTCATTGGACGATCTTGCACGAACAATCCAACGATGTGCTTCCGCTCCTGCAAGGAGCTTGGCACTTTGAGGGATCCGGTTCCTCCCGAAAAATCTTCAGCTGCTGGGACTCGACACGTAAAGGGGCCGAGTTCCGGGTTCAAGCTCGGGTGGTCGTTAGTGCGTCGTCTACGGTTCTGCATTTAGCGTGAAGGATACTGTGCGGCTCTGGAATGTTCCGAACTGCGGGCTTGGAGCATCATCTGGCAAGGAGAAGACGGAACCCGAAGCCACTGTCTCAAGTTCGGGGCCTGAATTTTCAACGCGTTGCCTTTGCATTATCCCATACTGCTCCCCAGACGTCTACCGTACTGCCTGCACATGAGATGTGGTAACTTCCTGGATTGAGGACAGCTACGAGTACAGAGCCCATGTGTTCTTGCACGTCCGACCCCATTTCATCGCGCGGAAGAAGCCTCCTGGACGGGTGAGACCAGCCATCGGCATGTGCAGCTCCCAAGCAACCCAAACAAGTTCGAACCTCGAAGAAAGCTTCCACAGCCGAGCCCTACTCGACCTCCAAGGAAGCTTAGCACAGATCGAGAGCAGCACGACAATTCTAGCGTGGATGTCTTCCGGCTCGAGTGGCATTTTCTTGTACTGGCTGCTCGCTCTTGGCAGTAACGCACAGCCACGCTTGATGCTTTGCACACGGGAGACGGGTCTGACGTCGCTTCTGACGGCATTATTGCCGCAGCACCAGCACCGACGACTAGTAATTAGAGACGTGGTCTTCAGAGTACATAAATGATAAATGTAAAGGCTTGCAACACCTCTAAACAGGCACTGCCGGGATTGCGCTCTTTTCTAGACGCTTGTAAGCCTGGTGTCTCGAAGGAGTCCCAAAGGCATGGCAGAGAGGAGGAGCTGGGACGTGCAATGCTCCGCTGCTCTGCTCACTTAGCTCGCTGAAGACCGCCCCGCGGAGTTGCACCTGGGACCAACAGGACTTTCGAAGCGAAGATCTGCAGAAAAGACTATAGGAACATGCTGCATATCAAGACATACTGATATATATCTATATGCATGCATGGTCACGGGGAGCTACCTCCCGTGCCACCGCAGTCAATTTGGCTCGCGGTTGTGCTTTGGATTCTCACTGTACGGCGCTAAACAGCGCTTGAACATGCAGTGAGTGTTGAATTGGAGCCTCACGTTTCGCTTCTGTGACCCGGCCCGCCGAGAAGGGGTTCGTGTAGCATCACCGTCACCGGCTCTCTTCTAGCAGCGGGCTACAGTTTGTGCTAAAGCGACGCCGGAAACTGGTGAAGGTGTACAACGCAGAAGCATGTCCTTGAGCGATGGGGGCGAGCCGTTCTGCAACAGCCGCACAGCTTTTCCACGCCGCAGCAAGCCGTAGGAGCACACCTACGCTGCGACTCCAGCCTGGATCGGTGGACTGGGCCCTGGCGTCTCAAAGCTCTACTTCACGCCTTCATGATTTCGTCTCGGTGACGAATTGACTTTGCAGCCACCAGAACTTTGACTTTGAGGCAGGCATACATCGTAGAACAAAGCTGAACCTGGCTCAAGGCCCGCAGGGATCAGGGCCACCGACCCGGGATCGAGACTGTAAAGAGTTGGAGGTTCGGCCACAAACCTGCGGGACCATGCGGCAAACACGTGCCGCCCGGCCCTCCAGCGCCCCGCCCTCCGGCGTTTTCTTCGAGACGGCAGAAGCGCCGTCAAATTCCTCGAAAGCTCTTATTCTGCTTGGGCTCCTTCGAAGCCTCAGCGTCGCTTTACCCGACACCCTTTGACCAGGCTCACGGATTAGAACTGTCAGTGACGGCGCAGCGCTCCAAAGCCACCTCCTTGGCTCGCAGAAGATTCACAGATGCAGCGGACGGCCGGGACCAGATACCACACGTGAGAGGGAAATCTCGTTATGATGTGTGGCAACCCAACCCTCTTCTGCGCAGCTTGTGGCCAGGGCACTTCTCAGTCTCTACAGCAACTTAAGAACCTCGCCACTTCGCAGATCCCATCACGCTGGGCAAAAGGAAGCTCGCAGCGACGGCACTAGCTCACGTTGCTTCACAACCCCAACATTGAAAGGACTCGCGAACAAACAGGCGTCCTCACGAGCACAGCTGCCAGAGCCTCACGAACCTTTCTTGGGCGATGCTTGGGAGCTCTGAGCTCTGCCGGGTCTCCACGAGTTTGCGGAACTGCTCCTTCGTGCCGCGAAACCTGAGCGGCCGTTGCTTTAAAGGAAGCTTTGAGTCCCTGAAGTGTCACATCCTGGAACTGATACTCGTACCTCAGTCTTTTGCATCTCCGCCTGAAACTTATGGTACAATCTCCATGCAGGTAGGAGTGTGTGTGTGTGTGTGTGTGTGTGCGCCCGAGTCCGAAACAAGTACCATCCCTACTAACAGCAGGTCGAAGCTCGAAAAAGCGAGTCACATCGGGGCGATCTGCAACCAGCCAGGCACAAACCATCAGGACAGACATGCCAAATCACAGAACAACAACAATGACGGAAACAAACATGTATGTTAAAGTCATGCCGACAGTTTCCAGTTCCGACTTAGAGTGACCGCTCCAAAGCGGGAATGCCACCTGCACAAATCCTTGGGATGCAAGAGTGGATGGGCCCCCGCTTCCTGGCCTTAAAGGCACAAGGTGCCCAAACCTCAAAGACTCCCAAAGCGCCGCGTAGCTCAGCGAAGAGCTCCTCGATGCCCCCCACGACGGCTTCCCTCAGGCTCCAAGCTTTGGGATCTCCAGGCTTTTTTGAGGTTTATACGGCCTTGAAATCTCAGGACTCGGGAGGTGCTCTGGTGCGGTCTGGGACTGCGTGTTAGACGGTAGACGTTGTTCTGGAGCTTCGGCTCTGTATCTTTGAGGGAGCACAACGTTTACGCTACGACGATCTCAAGGGTTGCAAGGAACCTGCACACCGGGCCCCGGCGAAACCAAACGGTGCTCGGCTTCTCGTGTGCGTGAGGCAATGTCCACTCTAGTAAGACACATGGGGGTGCTAACTGTGCGACCCTGGCTGAAGCATCAGCTTCAGAAGGCTGCTGAGCTCAAGTTTCCCGAACCGGCCAACTTATTTGGGTTGTCAAGCAGCTCTGCGAGCGTCCTGACCTCGGCAGGTCTGCAACATGTGAGTCACGTACGTCCACGGGACAAGACGCAAAAACCTGGGAGGACCTCGTGGTCGTCTCTTTCAAGTGGAAGCTCAACAGGAGGCTGCGGGAGGCTACTGGACTTTGTCCTCCTTTCTCATCCGGACAAAGGAGCAGATTCCCGGTGCCCTGCATTCCAATAGCCGCCAGACGCGGATCGGCAAACCGAATGACTTCTGCAGTGTGGCACCATTGCACGGCTTACCCGGGCCACGCGCCCATGCCCCGAACTCCCGAATGCAAGCCGCTTGTCAAGGCCAGTGGCAGCAGGCGCTGGTCGCGGAAGTCTTGGGTCCTCGTTGAAGATGCGGCCTCCTTGGCTACGGTCAGACTTATACCGTGGCTCCCCAAGTTCGAGCTGTGGAAGGCCAAGCCACCGCCGTGCAGCAGGGATCTCACCGTTCCGGCGCCGGCTCGAATGCCTGCCGAGGCGGAGGCTCCGGATCCCAGCGAAAGCCCGGAACTCCAGGTCGGCCTGGGCCCGGGCGGGGTCGCCGGAAAGACGGCCGAAGCCGCTCTTCAAGCTGCGCAGCCGGCTCAGAGCCTCATGAAAAGGCGCTGAGAAGCGACGTTCCCCAAGCACATAAGCTGAAAGCTACGAGAGAATTCAGGGACAGCCGCCCGCTTTCTGATAGAAGCCACTGGGGCTGCAGCCATGGAAACAGAAGCGGGGCTTCGGGAAGTCTTGGGATCACGCCATCCCAGGCCCAGGAGCTCGCCCTGGTGCTGGGCTCGGCGTCTTGCAGAGTCTCGAGTTCAGGGCCAGGGCTCCTGAAGTTGAAGGCGTAAGGCGTGAGATATCTCACGATCAGCACAGAAGATTTCGAGAAACTCAACTGTAGTCGCTTTTGCACTTTGAAGAGCAGCCAAGGCTCGAGGCCATCGGGGGCAGGAGCAGACACTCCGCTCTGGTCCAGCCAGGCCGCTCCTCCTCGTCTGCCTGGAGCCGGCTTGGTTGGGAATAGCTGTTCTTCTGGCCTGGACCTACCCGGCATTGGAGTTGGAGCCTTCTCGAACTTCGGCTGAGGGGGCGGTGGTTGCGGCGGCGGCGCCTCAGAAACGCAATTCGACAGACCCTCGTTCAGTCATGCTCCGTTGCTAGAAGATGTTTGGCTTGGAACTCGTTAACTGACAGCTCCTTGAGCCATGTCATGCCCGCAAACCATTGGAGTTGTCACTCTTCGCAGGCACCTGCCCAGAAGGCCCAGCGTGCAACGGTTTTGGAGGCGGAGGCTTCATCTTCGGCTGGGCCGCTGCCACCGCTTCCTGCGACTTGGGAACTGCAAGCTTGCGACTCCTAAAGCATGTAGCACTGTAGCACAGGGGCTTGAGCTTCGTCTTGGAGGCCTCTGCGAGTTTCTGACTCTGCGCCCCTGAACGACCCGTCAAAAAAACCAGCTCGCTCAAAACCCCTGAGGCCCAAGCCTGAGACCCTGGGAGCTTCGCCCACGGTGGTGGGACAAGCGCTTCGCTGGACCTGCAGTCACCGCTCGCCACGGCGTCAAGCCGCGCTCCAATCTGTACCGCTCGCTCCGAGCCTTTCCACGGCGTGGACCTTTGCTGGAGGACACCTGAAGTGCCGAGCAGCGATCAGCTTTTTGGTGTTGGCAGCTGGCCTGAAACACGAATCCGCCCCGTTCGATGCCAAGGGGCTTCAAAGTGGGAGTCGGCCCTTTCCTGAGTGACTCGCTGAGGAAGCATACCGGCTGGCTTGCTGGAGGCTCCAGGCACACTCACTGTGCTTCAACGTTGCAAACCAGGTCTCGGCGGAGCCTTCGAAACGACTTTTGGACCAGGTGCACTGGCTACCGCTGCCTTTGGCTCCTGCAAGGCTCATGAGGCTCATGAAAGCAAGCCTTGAAGAGCGCAGCGTAATGTATCAAATCTGGTAACATGTGGATTGCAGATGGCTCGGAACATCTCGGAAGACATTGACATCTTGTTAGCAAGAGAGCTTGTCGCTGGTGCGGCTCTTGCTGGGATGATGCCCTTCTCACCGTAAGAGCCACGGGACCACTACCAAAATCAGGAATCGGAAGCACTCGGGCTCCTCTCTGGCTTCAGCTACCCTGCGGAGGAACAAAGTAGCGGGAATACCCGGCCCAGGTTTAGGTTCTGAGACTTGCGCCCCCTCCTGTTTCAGTTTAGCTTTGCAAACCGAGAGCAATCCACAACTGCCGAGCTGCCGGACCCGAATCCTCGAAGCCCTGAAACCCTGCAGAAAGCCGCTCAAAGCGCTTCGGTCCGGAGTCCTGGACCTCACTTGACACCTCGCTTAGGATAGGAGGCGCTTTGCCTCGGTCCCGCAAAGGGCACAGCTGGAAGCGTGGCTTCGGCTGCCGACGGTCTTCGCTTCCTGTGGTTTAAAGGGTGATAGGCACAATTAGGGTTCAGGGTCTACTGTTGTGGTCTACGGCTTGTGGCTTGGTATGGTTAGGGTCTACTGTTTTGGGTAGGGTCACGACACATCATCTGCCTTTTATGTAGGGTCTGAACAAGCAATTTTACGACGCATGACGGGGGACCCTTTCCAAGAGCTATGGGTTCTGGCAGGTCAAAGGAAGTGCAGTATGAAAGAATTTGGAAAAGAGCTGAAAGTTTCTCAGCCACCAGGCTCCACAGGGCTGGCAGGCTTGCGGCAATTGCACGGGAGGGTCGAAAGGGGTCACAAGAAAGTGGTCGATGGGGGCCAACAAAGAAAGAAAGGGGTTGGTAAACCAAAAAACATGAAGGGGGTTAAAAAGATGGGCCCAATTGCATGCCCTGTGGAGTTTCTTTAGCTATGCGAGTTGCCGAGGGTTTGGCTTCGAGTTGAAAGTTGAAAGTAGGCAGAGCCCTCGGATTAGAGAGCTTGGGGTTGGGCTAGGCTACGCTGAATTGCGGGCCAGGAGGCAGGGTGGGTGCTGGATGTCAGTCTGCCAGGCATGCTTCGGAGCCGCCTCCGGAGGACGTTTCCTGGGCTGGTGTTCTGGAGCACATTGTTCTACGGATGTGCTTAGGGTTTAGGGTTTAGGGTCTGCAGTGGACAAAAAGCAAGGCGCTTGTTTGCGACACCTGAATCAAGACGATGCGGATTGCAGGCGGGCAGCAAGCAATTGACAAAAGACCTGCGCATGCTAGCACTAGACTAGGAGACTCCGCCACAATGGCAAGCAAGTTAAGTTAAAGACCGAAGCTATACTTGAAAAGGGCACTTTCCGCATAGCTTGTGCGGTGTTAGGAATTTAGAGATTGAGACTTTTTTCACATTTCGACTACTGCCCCAAAATCAAGAGGTGCAAACAGGGCGACTGCAACATGCCTGACACCTACAGCGACCAAAAGTCCATCACCAAGGAGCTGCACTACAACACCGTGCCCAACTGGATCGGACATTTCCGGTGCAGCAGAGCTTCGATAGCGGCTCGACGTTGTGGCCAGGGGCTTGGAGACCCGGGGGTCCAACCTTGGGCGACTTCGACGGTTCTGCGGCATCAATTCAATCAACTCTGTGACGCCCAAGAGCTCCACGCTTTGCTGATAAAGAGCAGCAACTGTTAAGCTCCAAACCCTGCCATGCAAAGGGCTTGCAGCCCAAGGGCATGGACTAACAGCATGGATCTGCCCAGCGAAGGTTGCAAATCGACTTCACTGCCAGCGTCGCCCATCGGATCCCAGGGGCTTTCCTCTCTAAAGGGCAAAGAGGCCGTTCTTTTCAGAGCTTGGAAAGTCGCAGACTCTTTTGCAACCTGTTGAAACTGAACTCTTGCAAGGCTGCAGAAGAGGGTCCAACCAACACACGACTAGGCTGGACGGCACCCTACCATTACGGTTTACTGATGCAGAACCCGATTTTGACGGAAGAGACTTTGGTGAGGTGGGTCTTGTGCTTGAGTACTCTGAGAGCTAATCGGCCATATGCAGCATCTCGCATTGGCCCTGCCTCTTCGGGAGCTGTCGGAGCTGCGGTGGCAGAAGCCTTCTTGGCCTCCGCCTTCGCCCAGGGAGCTGCCGGGACAGCCTCCGAACTGGAGACACGCTGTGAAGGGGGGGGGGGGCAAAGGGAGGTCTGCTGCACCCGAGAGCGAACTCGATGGCTGAACCATGCTTTGGAGGCCTCGCACTTCTGATGACACCTTCAATCATACACCTCCGCTTTGCAGGGACAATGCTCGTTCCATCGCGGAATCATACACAGGCACGGCCAAAGCCGGGGCCTCAAAAATCCACCGTGCATTTGCCGTGACAGTTAAACCGCCTAATTGCAGGGCCGATAATCGCCATTGAATCGTCCAACCCCTTGTCGGCCAATGCCGTGCAAAATTTGACACAGAAATGCTTTTGTCCGGTTTGCAATCGACGTCGTGCATTGACGGCAGTCCGCAATGGTGTCTTGCCAGCAGTCAACACTTTCGTGAAGAAGAGCAGAAGTTGTGGATTGCTCAGTCAGGCTCCCGCCTACAGTACATTCCAGTCCCTGCAGTTGCTCTGTCGCCCCTCTGTTTGACGAGTCCACCGCATGGCTGGATCAGTACCAGTCGTGCGACACCAGCGGCTCAGCTACCGGACCGGTTCAAAGCCTTCCGGAGAACGGCCACCTTTAAACACCCGGCTCGAGCCTTTTTGGGTGGAGCGCCGTTCAAGGCTTCTGCGGTGCTCGATTTCGGTGGCCGCCTGGATGCAGTGATGGCACCAAGCTTTCAGACCCGAAACTGCTGCTGATCAACCCTAAACCCTAAACCCTAATTATGGACAAAGCGAGCCAGAAAGAGAACAATTCTAAGCCGGCTCGAGCGACGAAGGCACTGCTTTCGGACCACCCAAGGTCCACAAGGAGGCCTAGCGATGCGAACAGGGCTCGAAGGTTTTGGGGCTTTTGGGGCAGTTCCGCAAGCAACTGATGGATAGTCTCTGCAACCCTCCCAGAGATTCCGCTTTACAGGTCTGATCCAATCGAGAAAGAAACACGTTCTATTCTGTCTGTCAGTCTGTCTGTCTGTCTGTCAGGCTGTATTTCGTATGCATGTTTGTACCAAACCGGTACAGGTGTCGGCCGGCCTCGTTTGGGCGATCCTGCCAGGCTTTTGCCTGGCCAGTTTGGTCAAAATCCACTTCCCCACCCCGAAACCTCCACGGCGTGATAGCCCTAGTGACCAACACGACGTTGGTCAAATGATCTCTCCGCAAACCCCCCCCTCTCCCCGGCCTCTGCTGGAACTTTGACTTTTTCCTGCCCAGGGAAGGAACTGACTCGAGTGGCTCATCGGCTTCCGGCCGTCGGCTGAAGCGCTTGCGGACGAGATGCTAAGGGAAGGCGTTGCTGTCCTCAGGCGCAGTGTTGGCAACGGGGTGGGACGGGGAACTTCCCTAGCTTGACGATCACTGAAGGATCCTGACTGCAACATGTGCGTCTTTTGGGCGGCACTCATAGCATCGGGCATACTCTTGGAGGGAAGGAGAGAGAAGGCGACAGAGAGAAAGAGAGAGACAGAGAGAGAGGGAGAGACAGGTCAGTCTGTCCGGAAAAAACTTGGGCGAACACTGACTCCGGATCCAGCTCTGCAAGTCAAGAGACGTGGGTAGGTCAGGTGCACCATCGCGCAGTGAGTACCGTTGGCATGATCACATCGCGTCGCAGAGCAGTAGCCTGTAGTGGACACAGAACCGCATCTGGGTTCGAGCACAAAAGCTTGGGGACGAGTGGTGGGCGTGTCCACGTGCTGGGAAACTCAAGGGCACCTGAGCTGAAGGGCCTGCAGGACCTTCAGCGGAGTTGGGGACTATAGCTTGACTTGTTTTCGAGATGGAAGACTTCGGCCGTACTCATGGACCTTCAGCAAGTTCGCTTACGGCTTAGGTGTCGCAGGATCAAGAAGGCCACCCCGAACCCCTGTAAGGTTCACTGACTCACTGCGCATGGCCTGAGTTCCTGACACTCCCACAGACTATAGAACTCAACGCCGAATTGATACAAGTCCGCTAATGCTAGTCGGCGTGCAGTTTCGCAGCTTCGCAGTATGCCGAAATCCGGGAGACTCGAAGGACCCTCCCTGGACATGCTCAGCCCATGGCCCGTCGCGATGTCACTAATCTCGCAGATCGCCTTGTCGGAGGTGACTGCTACGTGGTGTCCTGTCAAAGCGAAACCTCATGTCGGATGCTGGAACTTCACAGCCAGGCAGGGTCACTGAGCTTGCGATTGCAGGGTGAGTTGGGTGATCTCAGGTCTGGCGAGCTCCTCGTTGTCAGCAACTTTAGCCAAGACTCGAACATTCGACTCGACAGCTCGGAGACCAAACAATGTCCAAGCTGGCCATCGATCCAACTCATGAAAATGCTCAGTCCTTCGGCAACTGTCCGCCGCGCATCTTGCATTTTGCGCCTGAGTGTTGTTCAGAGCTGCCATGCCGCTTCCGTTCCGGAGGGGCTCCGGCCAAGCATGCCAGTCCGACAAGAAGACCGAGCTTCGGGCACAGTATCGAGGCTTCTGCGCTGTGCTATAGATTTAGTAGAAACCGTTAACAAGTCGAAGGAGTCTTGGAATCGAGGCTTAGGTTTCACGGACAAGATGTGGGCTTCAGAAGTTGATCTGGGCGACTCTGCTTGGATGAGGAGGCCCTCTGCGTCGGAGATCATGTTTGACTCCTCAGCCCCCGGTTGCCGGCGTGCATCGAACTCATAAAGCGTGTCTCCGTTCCCGTGTGCTAAGCTTCTATGCCTCTGCGCAAGAGCGCTGCAGGCACCATCCGTTTACTTCAATTTCCTCAGAATTGAGCCAGGGTGCCAAGCGTAGCCACAGAGGCACATACTTCAGGCGGCCGACGCTGTCACGCCTCCGCGTTTCAGCGAGCAACTCAGAATGTAGCAATGTAGCGGCAGTGGCATTTGGGTGAGGACCAACTTTGATGGGGAAAACCGCTTGTGGGAGAAAAACCCTGCACCCAGAAACAGACAGTTGGTCTGCAGCGGAGACACAGCGTCCCAGGATATCTGGGGTTCCATGCCTAAGCTTTGGCCCAAGGCTTGCCCTGGGTTGACAGTGGAAGAGCTGTGACCGAGCGCACTTCTCCGTTGAGTGCTTATGATGGCCTCGACGCTATGTGTGGCTTTCGGATACATCCCACCCACAGCTTTAAGGCTCTCCGTGGAAGGTGTCGACTGCCGGCACTGCCGGCCACCGCCTGTCTGCCTCTTCACCCTCGAGATTCATGGAGCTCTGTGTGTCAATGCGGAGTGCTAGCATAGTCAATCGTTTGCAGTGCATGGCCAGCTGCTGAGCGAAGTCGTCGAGAGCCGAGTCGCAACACCCTTCAGGATGTCCACGGCCCCCTCTCGCGTGATGTAGTTGTGCGAGAGATGTAGCTCGTTCAGTGGATGCTCCTTGGTTCGTGGGACGAGTGACCTACCGGCTCGGACCCTGCCGACCCGCCCCTGTCGGTGTTTTAATTAGAGGGGTCCGTGTAAGCCATTGAGGCCAAGCGGCAGTACGGCCCAAGAAATGCATCAGAGTCTGAGCCGCTGCTCTGCCGAGCAAATTCCTGCAATGGTTTCCACTTCAATGAGGTGAAGACTCGGGCAATTTAACGGGTCCATGGGTGAGGATGTTGGAGCCAGGTTTAGTGTCTCGGGGCTTGCACATGGTCGCTGGGCACGATTGACAGTCTACTTTTCGTGAGACCTGTATGCCAGCGGCTAGCAATGCGGTCGTGGAGCAACTTGACAAGCGACCCGCGCAGAACGTTCACGTCATCAGAAGATAGTCATCAGACGCGCGAACAAGCAACGAGATTGGGCTTATCGACTTGACAGGAACAACAGCCTTTGTACAGCCAGCATGCCTGCAAGCAACACCGAGGCACGTGACACCGTTACAAAACAGATATATGATACGCGAAGAAATATGCATATCTGTACGGTGCAGGCCGACTTACATACGTGCACGAATACATGCATATACACACATTGACATGATAGTTGGGTGAAGCGAAGCTACCAGTAGAGCGTGGCACATGGGTACGGCCGCCAAACGTCAGTTGCTAAGAAGTGATGTTGACGCTCTTCCTTGTTGTCTGAACTTTTTTGGCTGGTTTCGTCACTTCGCTGTTGCTGTCACTGAGGTTGCTAATGCGCGTTATGCCACGACGTCGCAAGATCTCAGTAACACCCTTCGTCGCGGCATTCTTACAAGAAACTGAATGCCAACAAGGAGGTGTACACCGAAATCAAAAGACAATCATTGGCTTTTGTGACGTGGCTTCGACCACTGAGCCGCTTGAACGGTGCCGCGTGCCGGAGAGAAGACCGCGGCAGAGGAAGCTCGAAGCATGACGATCCACCCAAGCTGGGCCGAGTCGCTTGTGCAGCTTGAGCTTGTCTGCAGCGATACGGAGCCTCAGGGCGTGTCAAGAAAGAAACGTTGGGACGGGTGAAGTTTCGACTTGGCCCCTAACGTCATGACTTATTGTGTTGAAATCTTCCGATACCTGGAGGAACTCCCGAACTATGTCGCAACGGTCCCACCATCAACGCTGCCAGGGTGCTGAAAGAGCAGTGACAGGATGCCGTGGCACCCTGAGAAGGCACGGAATAGGATTTAGAGAGGCTTGAAAGCAGAACAAGAGCATGAGGGCGACGTGTATACCTATCCCTCTCTCTCTCTCTCTCTCTCTCTCTCTCTATCTATATATCTTTCGCTTTCGTGGCACTGAATCCCTGTCGGATGCAGCCTAGTGCAGATTAATTGGTTGTGAAACTGTATGTATATGTACACATATATATATATATACATATGCACACATATCTTCGTATGTATATGCATGTCAATGTATGTGCAAAATATGTCTGTATGTACGTGCGTATATGTATACTATATACACATAGACATATATACACACACAGACGTACACATATGATCAGAGTCTGGGAGCCTGCTAGAGCCTGTTGAGTGCACAGTTTGGTACCAGCTACGAGGTGTTGAGCGGAAGGAGCTGCTGAAAGCTCGAGAGTAATGCATGTTCAAAGCGAACTGCCTGTAAGCGTCCAGGGACTTACGCAGACTGGCTCTGCCTGTTGGCATGGCCGGCGCCATCGATCACGCTAGCTCGATGCTCTTTGTGGGTCGTCTCGGTACCCTATGCAGGTCCCCTACACAAACACCCATGTTGGCCAGACACATCGTGGCCTCCCCTAAAGTAATGAGATCAGCTCATCTCGAATCACAAACAAAAGCCCGCTCTCTGTTCCAATGTCTTCAACTCCTCAAGCCAACACTGCTGGGGCCTCTGTCTCCGATGTTGTTTCCGGAGAAATCCACGATGCTCGCTGCCAGGAGTGTGTCCTCTTAGATGCTCCGTGTTCGCATGCATCATCAAGCAGAAGCCCGAAATTGTCCCAAGCCGCAGAAGCAGAGTGCAAACCCTACCGCGATCTGGAAGCTGTTCCAATTTGGCTTTGGGCCTCTAGGGCTTCAATGTTCCGTCTGCTTGCCTAGGTTCCCTGTGTTCGCCAGGCCAACGGCCCGCTTACCACAACACCAACACCAACCTTTAGTCGGCTTTCGGGTCCTCTGCCGGCTTTCTCAGCTGCTTCTCGTGTACCTAAGACGCTTTCATCGCTACAAGCAGCTTGGCAGCTCGACCACGGAGCCATGGGCAGGGCACGTTGTGGCATGCGGGATGGTGTCAAATGTCTACATGGGTCTCCGACTGCTGGGTGGGCACGGGATACAAGTTACAAGCACGACATGACAGCCAGCCACAAGAATAAGGTTCAACTCGTGCTTTCAGTCAGTCAGGCTTCCATAAACACTAAAGCTGCTGCTTCAAAGGGCTCGCGACCCAACCAGCACACCCCCAAACTCCTCTTTCGAAGACTTCAGTGCAGCTGAGTCTGCAAAGGCTGGAATGGCACGACTGGCCCATTGGCACCACCGCAATGCACCTTTCTGACGAACGGATCCAGGCTATCTAAATGTCTTAAACCAAAGACATCCGTCACCAGCAGCTACGCTCCGGAACTGTGATCATGCCCAAGATGGCAAAGAAGGAAGCACAAAGTCACACCACGATCAACCCGCCCATGCTTGACGAACATGTTTACACAGTCCTGCGAGCACCCGGAACCCTCCTAGCGCAGTCCGAAGCCTTCTGTTCCTCCGCCTTCTCAAAGATTCTAGGGTCCTGGAGCTCACAGGAGTGTCTTTTCTCTGCCAGCCGTGCCTGCGTCGTCCATGCTCTTGGACTTCCTGAGTTGTCAGGCTAGGATTACGGCCGCAGTGCGCGAAACGGTGCCCCAGAAGCCTCCAACTTTCAATTCGAGCTTTCGATGTTCAGCCTACATCGCGTGCAGAAGACTTCCGCCAACAGCCTCATCTCTACCGACGTCCCACTTGAAGGTGAGAGCAGCCATTCGATCGCCAGTCGCTTGCTCTGCAGAAACAGGGACTGGCTGAAGTCCATGGCTCCGGCTTTGGCTGTGGAGCATTTGATTTGATCCTACGAGTACCATCCTCGGAGTGCAGAGCGTTCCTCCTTTCTCTGCCTCTCTTTGCTCTTTGTCCTTGCTGTGCCGGCTACTCAACGTGCGAGCTGCACGCGTACTGGATCCTAGGATGCTAGCAGAAGTAAGGGCATCATTTGCAGAAGAAGTTGTCTTTGTCTCATAGCTGGGCGCCATGCCTTGATGAAGGACTGGGGCAGCAGCGGCACGCACCCACCCAAGTAGGGAACTCGAAGCCTCGCTTCCTACGGCCGACTGCCACTGTCGCAGCGCATGCAGCTTGACACGCAGCCGTGCGACCAACGGTCTTAGAAGAAGACCGGCACATATCAGAGACTCCAAACCCAGACTGGTTCTGCCACTCTCTTGCGATCCTATGCCCCTGTTCCAAGCTTGGGTTCCATGAGCCGAGGCAGCAACCCTTCTCACTTGCGATGCGCCTGGGCGATGTCGGGGAAGCTTCAGGGGGGGGGCGGGCCAAGGCCATCTCAAGTTTAGTTCCGGCGAGGGCATGCAACACTATTGAGACACCGATGCTTTCGCTAACTTTGACAGGTTCGTCGTGAGGTGCTGCTATCATCCTGATCACTATAAACCCGAAACCCACGCTGGCGTAACTTTCTTGGAACGGGGACGCAGCACCAAGCTTCGGGCGCAAACGAACCAAGGGCCATCCATTGCTTTGTAGTCCTGAGGACAAAGGTCGCATTGAATGGGGTCTGCAGCTTTGGCGTTTAGGGATTGTTGCGTGTGTAGTTTAGAGTAGATGCTTTTGCTGGGGTTACTTCAATACGTCCTTCCGGAAGAATGTCCTCGCAAACAGTTCACTGCCAAATCGGGCACCCTGAAAACCCAGTCCTTGAAGCAGATCTTGTCGAAGCTGTGTGGCCTCTTTTCGCGCTTGGGGCTGTCTGTTCAGATATGAACTACCGAAATCAGGAACTAGCAGGATGCATCCCTCGCAACGCAGGTAAACAGGGGTTCCTTTCAGGTGCCTGCACTCGTAGGCACTACTCGTGAGCAACCGGCAAAGGAAGCTTAAACGCACCACAGTTCAAACTCATCTGCAACGGTTTTGTGTGATGAAGCCCTGACCAGCTAGCGACAGCTCGTTGCGGAGGAAGAGCCTGAAAACCGCAGTTCTAGACCAACATCCCCTAAACCCTAAACCCTAAACCCTCAACCGAACTCCCCAAAGCGCTGCTGAGTGCCGGGACTTGCATTCTGGCGGCAGCTCTGGCTTAATCGCCACGGTGTCCTTAGGAGATGAGATGTGTACCAGGACCCTCCTGGCGCCCTCAAGTAGGGGTATATGGTCCCAAATAAGGGGCATTTAGGGTCTAATAGAGGGTAGATGGAGGGTCTGGGTAGGGTTCAAGTTCAAGTGTTGTTGTGCTTGTCTTCAACGTTGTAGTGGGCACTGTACTTGGTGCTGTGGCATTTGGTGATGCATTGCGACCCCTTTCTGGCTCATTGTTCTGGTCGTGGTACATATATGGGGTTGTTAGTCAAGGGACAGGAGGTATTCTTGCCGTTCGCAGGCTCGACACCTTTCCTGCTGCGTTTTTCTGAGGGTTGGGGCTTGCTGCAGAAGGTACGTGGAAGGCTTGTTACCTTTCGTGCTGTGCCGGCGAGGATTTGGAAGTTGTTGTGTGGAAGATGCACCGAAGCCTCGGCCCTCCTCGACGAGACTGACCCGAATCGGGCCCCTGTCCCTGACTTCGCGTCTTGCTGACACGTCCAAACTGTGCAAAAAGGCAGCTGTCAGGCATCAGTACTCAGAGAAGCCAAACATGGTATGTGGGGCTTCGATATTGACGCTTCGACGTCGGCTGTTGTTGCAGTCAGCAAGCTGAACGCCGATTTCTGTGGGGGGCTGAGGAAACCCTTATTCGCCTCCGGGTGAGAGGTTCCTTCTCGGATTCCCTCTATTCTCCACCTCTTAACGCCCTTCTCAGTCACGCTCCAAACTTGCTTAACCCCGCCCCCTCCTCCTGTGGAAACCTCTGGATGAGCAGCCTTGGTGAAATTTCGCTTGGGCTGTAGAAAATTTTCTCTGCCCCCTTCGGACGAGCGTCATCACCACCAGCAGCTGCACGGTCCCCAATTTGCTTCCTCCACGGCGATTCTCGTGAACTTTCGGACTCCGATGCAGCAACACCCAGAAAGCACCTGCCTGATGAAAGCCTTCTCAGACGCGGCTGCAGAGAAGCCCTGTGGTGCCTCAGCCGAATCACAGGCCGGTGGTAGAGCTTCACAGGACTTGAACCCACCAAGGCAACTTGAAAGATGCAGGACGTAAGAGGTTCTGTTTGGGTTGCACAATGTACTATTCTCAGCCGCTCCAAGAAGCGCCCCGACCCGACCTTTCATGCGTCTTTTCTAGCGCCCTGACCCCCCCCGCCGCACCCCTACCTGTGTTCGCAGATTCCATGGGTCGAAGGATGAGACACTGAAGACGTCCTGCTCATTTCATGAACGACAACATGACTACAAGCTTTTGGAACTCATGGTCCACTAAGGGTCTCATTGTTGATCTTGCGTTTTGAACATGGCCTCCGGATCCAGCAGGGGCTCCTGCAACCTTGACCGAGGGAGTGGAAGAAGCTATGTAAACGCCGTAAATCCCCCTACATAACACCCTTCCCAAACCCAGGATGCCTTGCGCTGGCGTTGACCGAGGTTCGCCACCTTCGAACTCTCTTGACCACGTCAACGTTTATGCACGGTCGCTATCATTGGCCTGCACTCCAACTCCCTAAATACAAGAGTTGCTCGGCTGGGAGTTTCAGTCGCAGAGTCTTTGTCACATCAATGCAGCGCTTCAATACCGAGAATGGCAGCAAGTGGCAGTTCGGACGGATGCAGTCCGACGGCAACACGAAGACATTTCCTCGATTCGGCTGGCTCGCGCCAAGGTGCATGCATGCCGTGTTGCGAAGAAAAGCACAGAAGCCATGGCCCTCATGGTTGATGTGGGCTCCATATGGCTCCATCGTACTTCTCCCCAAAACACCAAGACTTCCAGCATGGGTACCGCACATCGGGCTTGGGGCTTGGAGGTTGCAAGCCCGGGTTCGCTAGCTTTGAGTCGATGGCTTCCCCAAACAATTCACAAAGCACTGGGACGCCAAACTCTCGGTCGGGTTTGGTTTCTCACGATGTGGGGTCTAGCAACCAACCAACATCTGCTCGTTGTCGCCTAAATGCGCGGCGGGAAGGCAAGAGCTCCCACCATCGCCCAGAGTCTGTGACATGCTATCTCGTCAACAGCTCGGGCGATGCTAGCCTTGGCTACCTCAACAGCAGACCCTTGATGTCGGCACCTCTCGACTCCTAAGGCCAAACATCCTTGTGCTATCTTACACCCGGCCTCAGTTGTCTGAAGATCGAAATCCATGACCTGGCAAGTCAATGATGGCGCCGGCGCCATTCATGTCTTGAATTGCGCGTGAGGGCCGAATGTAAACACGCGGAGGCGGAAAGACTCTGAAAACCCTCTAGTGGCGGATGCCACTGGAGGCTGGCACTGTGTCAGAAGAACTGGTTCCACAACCTACACCCCAAAGCTCTTGCAACTGTACTCTGCTCTCACGAACCGAATCCCTTGCCCGGAGGGCTTTCAACTAAGGCATGTTGCACATGGACATGTCTCCCTGCTGCCTCGAAGCCCCCTGCGGCCGCCCGGCGTGTTCTCTACCCGCGAGCGTTTCTTGAAAAAAGCGGGCGGTCAGGCAGCACAGCTAGACAGGGCAAGGAGTACTCTCTACTGAACAAATTCGTCAGCCTTAGATAAAAAAATTGCTTCCAGTCCGTGAGAATATCGTGGGCTTATCGGTGATCCTTGCAGTGCCTTACAGGGCTGTTTCTGGGGCGTGCTCGAAACCTCTTTGTCTGTACAAGCGACCGTGTAGCAGTGCAAGTTATCTTGGCCCATCTAGCTAATCCCTTGCTGTCAGATTTTTGCACAAACTCAGAGATTCGTGCGCTCAGTCGACAACGGGACTTACGGGCAGCTTGCGAAACTGGATACAGCGGCAGATAAAACCTACGAGTAGGATTCAGGGTTCACGACGCAGGGCGGCGCAGCTTGAGCTCGTTGACATCGCAACTAATGGAGTCAGCCAGTGCGGTCTACATGTAACACTTTCAATGAAAGCAATGCCAACCTGAAGCCAAAATTTGTGGTCCTGGCACGGTGTGCGCTGTCAGCGAACTGGCACCTGGCGTCGGACATGCCCTGAAGTGCAAGTGTGCAAGGCATCCATCACCTTTGCTCCCGAGCCCTAACATCACCCGACCTTGCCACTTCCTCGAACTTGCAAGGATCCTTCCAAGAGGCCTGAACCATCCTCTCAGCAATCAGTTCGCCGCCTCATGGCGCTGGAGCTGTCGGGTGGACGCCGGGAGCCGTGAGCGGACTGACGAGATCAGAAGTTGCAACAACCCATTCGGGCTTCAGGGCCTTCAACTGCCTTTCAAGATCCTGATTGCATCGATCTGGAGCAAGACGCTCGACTATTCGCTTCAATGCGTGCACCGCGCATGCCACAGTCAGCCTGCGCGAAGCAAGACGGAGATTAAGGGCGAACGACTATGCAGAAGTTGCAAAAAGGCCAATCAAATACCTTGCAAGCCATGCAAACTCTGTCCAAACTCCACACGACTTATGTAACATGAAGACCTTGCGTCGATTATGCCCTAAGTCCCAAGCCCTGACCCGAAACACTAACCTCCAACTCCACACACCCACCGGGCCATAAACCCAGAATGCAAAACACCAAGATCTAGTTCGTCTGTGCTTTCATGTTGGGAGCTGCTTCTGTAAACGGGCTTTCCGCACTCCCGACTCCAGGAAAATCGCAAATCTCCTATGTTTTTGACTTTTCGTAACCATACAACATCCGCCGGCTCCACATCTCGGGCCTGCTGGCGACCTCCTCTGGTAGCCATGGCTTGGTGACATGTGGCACGGCAATACGGATCACACCCTGCGGCTTGACACGACCGACTGGGACAGCTGATCTCAGACCTGCCCGAACACCAAAACTCGTCGGAGCTTGTGTTCATGTTCCGCACAAGAAGATGTGGAACAGACGGCGTGCGGGGAAGTCGCATGTGATTCCCAACTTTCGGCAAGCAGCAGTTCGGGCGTCTGACGTATCAGGTCGGGATTGCCAAGGGTTTGTGCGTTTAAACGTCTGTGTTGTGCATACGTGTAAACATGCTCGTGTGTACATGTGGACATCTGCGTATGTCTGTGTGTGTGTATAAGCAACTAGTTTGCCTCAATTTATGTGTGTTTTTAGGATTGCGAGTTGCATGTGCATGCGAACATGTACGTGTATGTGCATCTGTGTATGGGTCTGTGCAGGTGCAGGCGTGTAATTATATGTATATGTATGGGTATGAAGGTATGCGTATGTATGTTCAGGCATCCGTAAACATGCATAATTATCTACGTACGTGCATGTTTATGCATGTAAAAGCACCTTTATGTACGTGTGTGCACACATGTTTACATGTATATGTACATGCTTACAGCACCCATGAGCTCTTGACAAATCCACTGGACGGCCGCTTTTCACAACCAATCTGTGCTGTCAACCGTGCCAGATCCAGCAGAAGGCATGGCCGCAACAACCTGGCAGATTGTTTCATGCAAGCCTCAAGACGCGATTCCTGGTGGCAGTAGCTCCGAGTCTACTGCACAACAACATGTCCCAACACAGGGTTTGGGGAACTAAAGTCTAAAAGTCACGGTTTAGGATTCAGGCAGACGTGCTTTTGGTTTGTGTTGATGGTTCAAACCTCGGCTATACGACTTTACGGTTGAGGGTTGTTGGTTTACGATTCAAGGTTATTCGGATTCGTCGGGTGTTCCAAAGTAAACGACCCAGCCAGCAACTTACTCGGAAGCATGCTGGAGCCATCAGGATGCTTTTTCTGAAATGACGGTTTTGTCGAACTCGCTGCATAGAGTTAGAACTACAGACCAGTATCCAAAGTGTTCAGCCATGCAGGGTTCAGGGCCGGTAGCTTCCAGCCCCAGAATGCGTGGCTGTTCCGCCCAAGGAGCCAAAGAACGCCGCCGAGGCTTCTTTTTCGATGCCCTCGGGGGCAGTCTCGTCAGAATGCCACGCACAAGCTGCACGGCTGAAGCTAGGACAGTATCATTGATTCAAAGGTGATATGAGTAGTTGCTCATCGAGACAGCATGGGAGATATGCTGCGACATGCAGCTTGAACCTGACCGTTAGAGCTAGCAGTGCGCATCTGCCATCGAAATTCTCACGTCAGTGGTTAGCTACACTGCCCCTTGAGCTTGCAGGGAAGTTAATTGAGTTGCCTTCTCCAGCTTCAGAGTGTAGAAGTGGAGGCCAACAACACCGCCGTCCAGGAGCTTCCTCCGGCTCCCGAAAGCCCAAAGGAGACTTTCTCCAATGTCGAAGCAGCTCGAGGATTTGAGGGATTAGGAAGCAGAGAGTAGAGATTCCATTGAGGATCCGAGGCACGAATGGTTGACAAAGATACATCCGGTCGAGTCCCATTCACTGTGCCATTCTTCTGAGATTTCCTTGTCTTGATTTCGATGCATGTGTTTCATGCAAAACCGACCAACTACGAACGGCTGGGGGTGCGCGGAGGTTGGGTCGCGTATTGGGCTCACTATTTTCACTCTGCAAAAGAGGGCTGCGGTGAGTCGCAGTCAGGTTAAAGCCCTTTAGCTCAAACCCTCTTCTCTCTACACTGTACAGCTACTTACCTAGGTTTCCTAGTGTAGCCTACAAAAATCTCGCACCCCCCTTAGAGGTAGGGGTTTGAGAAAGCCTCCCGCGGGGCATCCCGCAGTCGGAGGGTGAGACGCCCCTGGTAGGGCGGAGCGTCCCGCGCACAGGGCTGGCAGCCGAAAGGTTCGCCCTGCGGTGCTACCCGCTAGGGGCCTCTTACGGTGGAGGCACCCACTGGCGGGAGTTGTTCACCGCACTGCCGGGCTTGGTGCTCTGGTGCCCGTTGCGGCAGTGGAGACACACCCTGTGTCTGATCGTTGCCCCTTCCATGAATGGGCAACCTCGCTGTTGGCCATGGTACCGGCGCACGACGCGGCCGGTGGCCACTTGAAAGGCGAACCCGGTCCAGAGGAACTCGGTGTTCTGAGGATCTGCTGCACAGTGGCAGCGAAAGCCGATCAGGATTTGATCCGCTGGGACAGAGCTCAGCCCATTACACTTGGTGAATAGGTGGATCTTGTCACCACGGGCTGTCTCGTAGAGATGCTCGTCGTCCCCGGACAGGGGTTCCGGTCCCCTACGCCTGCGCCGCACCCTCGGTGCAGCGGGCGGCGGTGGTGGAGGAGCTGCCGCAGGGGGCGGACCTGGAGTCCGCTCACCCTCAGGTTCTGGCTCCTGAGCCCCCCTCCTTTCCTCTTGCGCCTCTTGCGGCGCTTCTGGCCCTAGCCAGACCTCCGTGGCCCTTCGGGCTGCACGCGGCGGCTCTTCGGCACGCTCGGCGTGGTGCTCGATCTCTTCCTCGGGCTCCGGCTCCTGCCTGCACCTGCAGAGCCAGGAGACTAAACCCCAAAGCATCCACAGGAAGGCCAGGAAGCCTAGGGCCGCGAAGCCGAGCACCAGCTCTGCGAAGTCGTGCCCTTGGGCCTTGGCAGGTCGAACCTGCAGCGCCACGATTGTGGCCATGAGCGCCGAGCTTGCAAGCTTGGTCGGCGGTCTCATTTTCCAGGGGCTTGCCTGGATCGATTTGATCGTGCCCTTTTGGGCCAGAGCCTCGGTGGCGCCTGCGACCGCATCGAGGTCCACCATGCCCATAGAGGGCAGGGATTGCCGCACCTCCGGTCCAGTCTTCGCGTGCTTGGTAGCGAAGTTTGCCGGATTTTCGGTTCCCTTAACTTTTCTCAGTTCAAGAAGTTTGGCTCTGAGCGCGCCTTGAACGAAGAATTCCGCGACTTCCAGGTGTCTCAACTTAGACCCTGGTCCTATGCGCTTGGCGGCTCCGATCGAGGCTGCGGAGTCTGCCCAGAGCCGCAGCAGGCCGCAGGCTAGGGCGAAGTCTTTCTCCGCAAGCTCTCGTAGGAAGACGGCCTCCCTTGCTGCTCGCGACACTCCCCGGATCTCCGCGTCTCCGCTGGAGGTGGCTGGGAGGCCGGGCTGTGTCTGGCAGCTTGTCTGGATGACTGCTCCCCCAAGAGAGGCAACTATGTTGTCTGTGCTCCTTCTCGTTTCTGGGCACCCTGCCCAGTCGGAGTCGGAGTAGACCTCCAAGTTCAGAAGAGCTGTGCTCTTGGACGCGGGGTCCAGCACAACTACCCTTCCAAACCGCGGGGTTGCCCGCAGGTATCGCGCGAGGGTTTCCGCAGCGAGCCAGTCGCAGACCCTGGGGTTCTGCATGCTTCGCGCCAGCTCTTTCACGGCGAACTGTATGTCTCGCCTGTCCGCCGACAGCGTGAGGATTGAGTCCTCTGTGCGCACCTTGGTCCTTCCCAGGACCTCCACCGCGGTGCCCGGCTCTTCCAGTTCTCCCACCGTTATCTCACAGTGCGTCGGAAGGTCCACCTCCGTGAACTTCAGCACTGCGGCCTTGGGGCCTGCGACACGGATGTCGTCGATGTGGTGGAGAAGGATTATAGGCCGGACCGGCGGTCTAGGTACACGCACGGGTCCTTCACGCCCCGCTGGAAGTCGTAGTCCTTGGCCAGCTTGCCGGTGAGGACTTCTTCCAGCTCGTCCCTGTAGACGGAACCAGCCGTTCTTCGGCCGTAAAGGTTGCCGTCCACTCGGAACACAAAGTCCCGGAAGTGGTCTCGGTACCACTGCTGGTCCTTTGCAGGCTGCTCCAAGACCCATTGGTCAAAGAGCTCGCGCCACTCCACAGGCGCATGCATGTAGACCGGGCGGCCTTCCGCCGCACCGCGGTCCTTCCCTATGAGGAAGGCGGCCACAATATCCAAAGACCTTGTGACCCACCCCTCGTTGTGTAGCGCTGCTACCTCAAGTAGGGAGTGACTCTCGGGCGTTGGCGTTGGGACGAAAACGTCCAAGCCAGCTTCCTGTTCTGGGCTGTAGCGGGCCTTGACGTCGGCACAGGTACACCTTGACTTGTACCGTCCTTTGTCGCACTTGTCGACCCACTTTGCCCTGAACAGCTGCGCCCCGCGCGGTACTTCAGACCGCAGCACAGGCGTGAAAGCGCCTCGGTCCCACAGCTTTCTTAGCTGCTCCTTGCGTGCCTGCTCGACCTGCTTGGGGTCGAGCATCCGGTCTAGCAGGTCTGTCACCTGCCCAACCCACGCGTCCCGCTCGCCCTTGTGGTTGGTGAGCGGTGGGTCGGCCAAGGCAGCGATGTGCTGCCACACCTCGCGCTCTGTGAGCGCTCCTAGCCGCGGTGCTTTCTTGGGCTCCACCCGGCTCTTAGCTGCAGGCGGCTGCTGTGCTGCCGCTGCGCTCGCGGAGGAACCCGCAGAGTCGCGCTTCTGCCCCCCTTCGCCTGAGCCGTCGTTGGCGGCTGGGGCGGGGCTTGCCGCTTGTTGCGGCAGCGCGCTTGCTGCGGAAGGTCCTGCCTCCACGTCGGACGGCTCGTAGTCCGGTATTTCTGCGTTGGCCAGCTCCTTGGTAGGGCTGGCGTCCGGGAGCCTGCTGGCCTGCTCGGCCCCTTCGACTAAGAGGGCCTCGGCGTCGGGCCGCGGCCCGTCGCTGAAGAGCCAGGGCTCGCCGGGCGGTTCTAGCCGCTCCGTTTCCTCGGCCGGCGTGGCCAGAGGGATTGGAACCATCATCGGCTCGCTGCGCTCTGCTGGCGCTGAGCGGCCAAATCTGGGGTTCCAAGGCAGGCCGCACGCTTTGAGAACGGCTGCCGTCTTCCGGCGGGAGCCGCCTGACACTCCTCACGTTGAGTGCGCCCGCTTCGGTCAGCACCACATGGGAGTCGTCGCGCTCCAGCTTGCCGGCCCAGACCCCTTTGACCCAGCGCACTTGCGCTTTGTTCCCGGGCCTTGGGAGCTTCGCCAGAACGGTCTCTCCAAAGGAGCAAAGTGCTCCACCATATAGTCGGTGCCAGTGGCGGCCCGATATGGTGTCACCCCGTCCGTCGACTTGGTCCCGAACCGGGCTTGCAGCCAGGCCACGTGCCTGACCAGCCACGGGAACAGGTTGGACGAGGTGTCCCACTCTAAGGCGGGGTAGTCCGCTCTTAGCTGCGAAAGCCAAGTGCGAACCTCACCTGCCAGGTGTGCGTTCCTTCCCTCTACGGATCCCTGGCTTTGGTGCGACCCGCGAGGGGCGTCCCGAAGACGCACCCCTAGTAGCTCCTAGCCGGCGGTGGACCGCACGGGCCACAGAGGCTATGGCATTCTCCTGGTCGGCCTGTAGGGTAAACTTGTCGTACCCCAGGCGATCCACGAACTGCTCCACAAGCCCTGCGGCGTAGGCCGCGTGTCTGTGCCCTTTGTGCGCCACGGGAACCGACAGAGTCCAGCCAGTGGCCCTGTCTGTGAGGTTCAGCACCGTGGCAAGCGATGCTTCTTCCTCAACTTCTTTCCCGTCCCGGCTGTAGAACTGATAATCCATGGTGACAAGCGGCGTCACCGGATCATCCGAGGGCTCACGGCGGCGGTGAGGGTCCTCGCGCGCCTTTCCCTCCACGCACTTCTCGCACCACGCCTGGTAGGGCGTGTGAGTGAGCTCGTGCTCGGCGCGTTCCTGCGCCGTGGGGTTGCGCGGTGCCCTTCAAAGTTGACCTTGCAGGACTGGCGCTCCTCCCCTAAGAGGAGGCTCGGCTGGACACGGCCCTTTGTTTTCAGGCGGCTGTTGTCCACCGAGTAAAGGCTCTTTGGTGGGCCCGCGGGCTGCAGGTCGGGAAACGCCTCGGGCCTGCACACGGACACACACGCCCCGGAGTCCACGAGAAGACTCCCCGACACCTTGAGGATTTTGTCCTCCTCTGGTTCGGTGTCGTGAGGCGGGGCAAACCGCACACCTAAGATGCGGTCGTCACGCACCTGGCGTACCTGGCCTTTGCCGCCAGAGCCGCCGGTGCTTCCTCCAGCTTGGGACGCGGAGGGACCCGCAGTCGCCAAGGAGGCTGTTGACACCGTCGTGGCCGCGTCGTCGGCCCTTGGTGCCTTTGCCTTTTCCCTTGGCGTTAAACCAGCACTCTTTTACGGTGTGCCCCGTTTTCCAGCAGATGGGGCATCTCTCTTTGCCGTCTCTGCCTCCTTGCTGGTTCCCCTTTTTGTCCCCTTTCTTGCCTTTGTGGTCGTGGTCGCCCTTGCCCTTTTTGTGGTCCTTGTCCCCTTTCTTGCCTTTGTCGCCTTTGCCCTTCCCTTCTTTTCCGTCTCGGTCCCCTATTCTGCCAATGTCCATGGCGTTAGGGTCCCTTCGGGAAGAGGCGGCGTAGCCCGCACTCGGGGTCCAGACCCTTTTGGCTTGCAAGTAGCTCACCACTACTTCCCTCACCTCGGCATAAGTCGAAAGACTCGCCGCGTGCATAGCGAGGTGTTGCCGGAGAGCGTTGGGGCTCTCGGTCACCAGCACTGCCCGCAGATCTTCGTCTGCTAGGGCGCGCCCTGCGCCATACTCGGAGGCGTAGCGGTCCACGTCTGCCTCCCATTCCTGCAGAGCCAAGGAGAAGTCGCTCTCCTTTGGCGGAAACTTCGGCATAGCAGGGTCCGCCTCCAGGTGAGGTTCTTGGACTCGTTCTCTGGGTTGTGCTCCTGCCACAGGAGACGCCAGAGCTCGAACCCATTCTGGCCCTTCACTCCGCGCGCCAGCTTTACAGCTGTGGCGGAGTCCTGGGTCCAACTGCCCAGCATGCCGAAGAGGCGGACGCTGAGGGTCCGCACTTCCTCGGTCATGGCTGCCATTTGGAGTGGCGCCTTGCACTTTCGAGCTATTTCCAGCTCTGCTGGATACCTGGTGTCCACGACCGCCAGGTAAGACTCTGCCTGAAAGGCAAAGCGCTCCCAGTCGTCTCGCCCCTTAAGGGAGGTAGGGAGACGCATGCTCTTGAGCAAGTGCCCTCCACCGCTCGCCTGCAACGCAGGGGCGGGTGCCGCCGTGGCGACTGCCGCCGTAGCGGCTGCTGCAGCTAGGCCCTGTTGTCTCTGGGCCGACAACTCGCCAATCGCAGCCTGCAGCTGCTGCGCTTGGCTCTCCAACAACCCCCTAAGGGTTGCGACTTCCCCGCGCAGAGCCTCGACCACGGGGTCGCCCTGCGGGGGCGGATAAGCCGGTTGCTGGCTCGTCTCTTGAGGCGTCGAAGATAGCCTGGCTGATCTCGTCCAGCAAGGTCAAGGCTTCTCCGTACTGCTCTGCCAGCCTTGGGTTGCCTTCCCAAGGAGTCGCTGGCCTGTTGCGAGCCGCGTGCCTGAGTCCGTTAAGGAACTGGCACGGCCCTTGGCCCTCGGAGCTCTCCTCTTCGGACTCCTCTCCCTCACCTTCGTCAGCCGGCGAGGTGGGCTCTTGCTGCTGCTCCGGAGCTTCCTCCCGAGGCGCGGGAGGTACCGCAGCCTCGGGCGCTGTGCGGCCTTGGGTTCCTCCTTCAGTGAGGTGGCGGCGCCTTCACCGTCGGTGCTTTGGCTGCCGGAGCACCTCTTGGTAGGGCCTTCGGCTCTGCCTCCGGGGTGGCCTCTGTGGGTCCACTCGCCGGGGCTGCTTGCTCCTGCCCAGCTTCGGTGCTGGGGCTCACAGAGCTCTCTTCCTTTGCCTCGGCTGCTTTGGGCGCAGCCTTAGGTGAGGCTTCTGGTTTTGCCTCCTCGGCTGGCTCTGCGGCCGCCTCTTCGGAGGCAGGCGGGGCAACCCGCTCTGCCGGCTCTTCCTTCTTAGCAGGGGCAACCCCACTAGAGGAAGAAGCTGCAGCAGCAGCGGGCGGGGTTTCCCGCTCTCCTTCGGAGTTGCTTCCCCCGAAGTCTGGAGTGTCCTCGCCAGGCGCGGGGCCTGTGAAGACTGGCGCCTTGGGCACCGGCGCGGTGTCCAAGGAGGATTCCGAGCTCGGGCTCTGAATCTCCTGGCCGGCACCCGCAGGAGCTTGCTCCGGAGTGCGCGGCTCTGGGATATCAGTCCCCGGGCCCTCTACGAGGACGACCGGGTCTGTACCCTCTCTTTCGCGCCTTTCGGCGCCGCGGGCCTCGCGGTTGGCGCGGGCCGCTTGGGAACGACCACCTCGGTGGTTCTTCTTTTTCCCAGAACCCTGCTCAGGTTCTTGGGTCGCAGGCTTGCCCTTGCCGGACTTGCCTGCTGGAGCTGGCTTGCCCTTTGCGGGCTGCTCTGCTCCCTTAGCTTGGGCTGCCTTGCCCTTTGCGGGCTGCGCAGCTCCCTTGGCAGGCTTGCCCTTGGTGGGCTTCCCTGCTCCCTTTTCCCCGCGACGGGGGGTTCGGCTCCCCGACTCCGAGGCGGGGCGGCCCGCACTCGGGCCGGTTTTGCCTTTGCCCTTTTCGGGCTCGGCTGTTCTGCCCCGGTTTTGGTTCGGGGCTTCGGTGCGCTCGCCTATGAGAGGGCGGCGCGGTCGAGCTGGAGCTTCAGCGGCTCCGCTCCCCTTGGCACCTTCTGGTGCCTGACTGGAAGAGGCCTCCTCCTGCTGGGAGGTCCTCCAGTCCCACTGGGAACTCCAGTCGGAGTCCCAGTCACACCAGCCCCACCACTCGGACGTGGCGGCTGGCGGGTGGCGGTTCGGCCCGCGCACCCAAGGAGCGTCGGGGCCTACCGAACCAGCTCCGCTACCATGCGCGGAGGTTGGGTCGCGTATTGGGCTCACTATTTTCACTCTGCAAAAGAGGGCTGCGGTGAGTCGCAGTCAGGTTAAAGCCCTTTAGCTCAAACCCTCTTCTCTCTACACTGTACAGCTACTTACCTAGGTTTCCTAGTGTAGCCTACAAAAATCTCGCAGGGGGGCTTCATGTGGAAGAGATGTTGCGAGATGGAAGACTAGCGAGGACTCTTGAGTTTGGCAGTGTGTTTGATCGAAGTTTCCCCATCCGCAGTGACGCTCGCACAAGATTTATGTTGTGAAAATTGCAGCTCAACCTCGTACGTCTGAAGCTTGAGGACTGAAGTCTCAAGAACGCGCATGAAGCGCTGCCTTGCAGTGCTCTGTTTACTCGCCATCCGGTGGAAAGTTACCGAAAACCGCTGCTCGACATTAAAACCCGAAGTCGTGGTTTAGGGCCAGGGTTTCAGGTTTAGGTTTTAGGAGCAACGCTTGAGGGTTTAGGGCTTGGGACCGGCGAGTTTAGGATGCAGGGGAATGCTCCAACGAAGGTATGGGGTTTGAGAGATTGAAGCCTGGAGGTAGCAAACGAGCGAAACAACCATGGAGGATCGACACAAGACATTGTCGTACTACAACTTGCCAGGCTCTAAGCAGATCTCATGCAGTACACACAAGCCTAGTTTTGCACTGCACACATGCATAGATGGGCGTATCGACTCAGCTGCCGTCCTATGCGGGGTATCCGAAGCCGTGATTTTGCGCTTCCCAGCCTGGGAAACCCAGGTTCCCGGACTGATGATTCCAATTGATGCCATTTAAGGTTTCGATTCAGAGGCTTCATGCCGATCAGACCTCGCAGTGTTATACCCTGAACTCAGTTTTTTTTCCACATGTTCATGCCTTTTCTATCGGTACCTACACTGATTCGTGCCTGCTCCGTCCGTTCCCGCTTTTTGCTTGCAACTCGGCTGCTTTTTCGGGCGCGTTGTCCTTTTCCACGTGCCTTTGGAGGGTGTGGGCATTGCATGGGGGGGTGCTAGCGTCTGTGACGATGCGGATTATGCATGTAGTGTATTTCGTTGTGCTTCCCTGCAGGGGTTAAGGGGGGACGATAACGTCCATGGCACTGCGTTCTCGTTTCCTTCCCTGCAGGGGCGGGGATGATGATGCTGCTGATGATGATGATTGCGTTGACGGTGATCGGGAAGCTGACGATGACGATGATGGTGATGATGATGATGATGCTGACGGAGAACCCGATGCCGACGCTTTCGGGAACACGTAGTATAGTCAGCATCCTAATATTATCAGAGATTTTGGCCAGTGCCCCAATTATGCAATCAGCCACGAGCATGCCTGAATGCCAGCAGCGGAGAGTGCCGCTTCCATTGCCTCCCGGGAGACTGAGACAGCAAGCTTCACTTCCCGTGAGTTGTCGGCCTCGACGCGCTCCAGAAGGTGCAGGACCAATGGCGCCTTGCCGTATGACACGGACTGCTGTTCAGATCGACGAGCTTCTTCCTAAACCCGAGGACGGCTTGGACCGAAGAAGTCGTTCGCTTAGTAACTGGTAGGAAGCCAGTCGAAAGTTTGTTTCTTCAGCGGTTTTTCCTGTTCCGCTGCCGCCTTCTGCTGGTGCGCAGAACTCGTGTGAATGAGAACCGGCAGCCTCCCACCACGGCAATAAGAGACAGTGGAGAAAACTCTGGCGACGTCGGGAACGTAAAGTGAATTTCGAACGCCTATGAAACTGACACCCGGAAGTGGCCGGCGCGGCCTGTTGCCCCGAAGTCGGCTTGCTGCGGCGGGCTCCGTTGCTGGAAGATGTTTGGCTTGGAGCTCGTTAACTGACTGATTGACTCCTTGAGCGACCCGTCAAAAAAGCAGCTCTCTCAAAACCCCTGAGCCGAGTAGCAAGGCTGACTGGAGGAAGGTCCGGTTCTTGGGCGGAAGGGCAAGCCACGGCGAGGACCTTTGCTGGAGGAGACCTGAAGTGCCGAGCAGCGATCAGCTTTGGGGTTTTGGCAGCTGGCCTGAAACACGAATCCGCACGGTTTGATGCCAAGGCACCTGGAAGGCTCTGGGGTTTACCTTAACCCCGAAGAACCTACATTTTTAAGGACATGTAGAAAGAAATCATAATGAGGAACCCTAGCCCTTCAAGCACCTGAGAAGCTCTAGGGTTTAGGGTTTCGGGTTCAGGGTTTAGCTTGGCCTTGCCCTTCAAGCACCTCAGAGGCTCTAGAGCTTCTAGGGGATACCCATAGACTCCATAGTAGTCCCGTTCTGGGATTGCCCTACGGGAGGCTATATATGAACCCCAAAAAGGAACTACTATAGAGCTTCTAGTAGCTTCTAGGGGATAGGGGCGAGTTGGGGATCCAGGGTTTTAGTTTTAGGGTTACGGGATCTTGATCGTTTGGGGTTTCAAGCACCTGAGAGGATCAGGGTTTAGGGTTCAGGGTTTGGGGTTAGGGTTCAGGGTTTAGGGTTTGGGGTTTAGGGCTGAGAGGCTCTAGGACCTCCAGGGCAAAATGGGTTTAGGATTCGAGGGTATGGGGTACTTGGTATTGGGGCTTGTGAACTGAGATTTCAAGCACTTGAGAGGCTCTAGTATAGGGGTAAGTTCGGCGTTCAGGGTTAGGGGATGTTGTTTATTTGGGAAATACACATATGCATACATGGGCGAATCGACTCAGCTGCAGTCCAATGCGGGGTACCCGAAGCTATGACTTTGTACTTCCAGTGTGGGATGTCCACGCTTCCGGACGGATGGTTCCACTTGGTACGACTTGGGAACCTTAGGTTCTGATTCTAGAGGCTAATGCCGATCAAAACTCGCAGCATTACGTCCTGAACCCTAATGAAACCCGCTTCACCCTGAATCCTAAACTCTAAACCTTAAACAAAAAATTGAACCCTAAATCCCCGAACCCCAAACCCCAAACCCTGAACCCTTAGAAACGGAAAGGCCGAGGCACGGAGCTCGGGTGCTTTTTGCGGCCTCCAAAACGCAGAAGCAACGACGATAAGATCGCGATGACATCGCAAGCTGCCATGACTAGAGTGTGACTAGCGTAGACTTGTTCCGTAAAGTCAGCCCGAGTATGCGCACACCACTTGTTCTTCGAGCCTTGGCCGCCTCCGACTGGGCTGTTTTTTTGTGTCTTTGTGCCTGCCAATGTTCGCTTCGTGAAAAAGCAACAGTGAGCCAACAACAAACTACAAGTCGCACAGAGCTCGACGTGTTCCGCGACCTCAATGGCCGCGTGTCGCTTGCTTTTTACCTCCAACCAGTTTGCAAGCAGGCTGAATTTCGAATCTTGAACAGCAAAACCAACAGGCTGAAACAACAGCGCAGGAATTTAGAAGCTCACTGGCCTCTTCTCTCCGCTGCGCCCTGCGCTGTCTCTCCTCTTTCTCTTTCTGCGCCTGAGACAGCAGAACAACGCATCACCAGAACAGAAATTCACAGAATACAGAGATGTGAACCGTGTCGAACCAACATCAGACACGAGTAGAACCTACAACGTTGTGCACTGGACACGCAGGGTGTGCCCCCATCGGCACCCCTCCTCCATCCGTCGCGGCGCTTCTTCTGCCTGCACACGTTCGCGTTGCAGCCGTTCTTCCGTGGCCATCTGTGCGAGTTCTTTAGCTTCTCTTTGCTCCTGCTCTTGTCGAAGTCGATCCTGCCAAGTCATCCAGGTCAAGGGCACACAAAACAAGCACGAAGAAGCTCACTGGCCTCCTCCGCCTCGCGCTGTCGCTCCTCTGCCTCTTTCTGCGCTTGAGAAAACTCTTTCTGCTGCTGCTGCTCGGCAGCCATCCGCTACTCCTGCCTCAATCCAAAGATGAGGGACAACAGAATCACTAGAATTGTGACTCCCAGAGTGCTAGCAAACTGGCATTTCATGGAATAGATATTTTTACAAGAATGTTACGGTTTTGATATGATTTCAAGGATCCTTCCGGTTACGATTTTGATACGAATTTGACATGGTTTACGATTTGGATACTGTTTAGAATGCATGAGACCGCCAGGGGGTGTCAGGGATTATGGTTTCAAACAAACGGTAAGTCTTAGGGTTGCTTGTTTTGCTTTTCATTACTTTCCATGAGTGGTACCACGCAAACGAATGAATGCCAGAACAGAATGGCCTGCTTCTGTAGGTCTTCCACCTGCAGCTGGATGGACTGCAACTTGCGCTCGAGCTCATGGCTTATCGCCTCCTGAACTCCAGAATAAATCCAAGCATTGCGTAGGATAGCACTGGTCTAGTCTAGTAAAGTCTAGATTCGTTCTACAATATGATATACAATACTGTGCTATGCTATACTGTACTTCAAAACGCCGTGCTTGACTAGGCGTGGCAGACTAGACTGTGCCATACCAGACTGCACTATAATGTGGGAATGTAAGGCAATTCACGTTTTGTTAAAGCAGGGGAAGTTTAGATGCCGTCAGATGTGTCGATGCCCCTTGAACCAAAGTCTGCCACTCCTTCCCAGTCATGCGGCGAATTCATTGTCAAAAGCTGGAGCCCTGGCCACGGGTTTCAGTTAGCAACAGGCATTCCCAAAAGGCAATCCCATTTTGGTAACCGTGCCACCCTACACCCCGCACCTAGCCCGATCCACCCCGATATCCCCCAACACATCCCAACAACATTCTCCATCATTTACCCCGATACCCTATGACAAACCAAACGGATATGACATCTTCTAACGGTTTGTAAGTAAGGATAACAAAACCCTCACACCAGTAGTGATTGAACAAATTGAACGACTTAAATCACTGTTGAGAACCTGAAATGCGTTCTGGCTGCTTCTTAACAAACCTTCAATGCTGCTGTTTCTCGACATGTTGTTTCCACGTACAAGGCAGATAGACAACTCTACAAGTCTTACAGAAAGATCGTTCCTTGCCACCTATAAACTCATTGCATCAGGTTCAGGAATTTCGCTTCGAAATCTGGATCTTCAAGTTTCTTCAGATTGTCCTGATGAATTTGTAAGTGTTCGTGTTGTGCTTTGTTGTATTTCTTGATTTCATAAGTACACACGCCGCATGCATGTGATGACTTCTTCTTTCGGTTGAGTAAACTTTCTGCATGTTCTTCTTTGTGTTCCTCATTGAACTTCCCTTTCTCTCTACAAACGTTTCATGTCTTCAACCCTTCTGAAAAACTATTCAATTTTCTGCATGTTCCGGCACCCCTTGCAACATTTCCGATCTTCCATGTCTTAATATGTATAGTCAGTATCCCTTTAAGTGTCTTCTTGTCTACACCACAATCTATAGGAAATTCAGTCATTATTCGATCCTTAAGTAAGCCAAACAATATGAAATAGTTCTCCACTATCTTGTCGTTCATCAACCATTTGCGTACGTGTTCAAAAACTTCTGTTAGTTCATCCTTTTGCACTGACTTTCTTGCTTGAACTCACGTATTTCTCTCTGCATTTAAAACAATTGTGATACATCTTTCCGCTATTCTTGTATCCGCAGTCTTCAACCGCTTTCCAGCTGTGACATCTAGTGCATTTGGTCTTGTCCAACCTACTCCCTTAAAACCACTCTCCTTTAACTGTCTCACCCGATGTTTTTTCATGTTGTCATACATGTGGTCCTGTAAGAAAACTGCTGTGCTTTCGGGTAATACCTAGTAAAGCTGTCGAGATCTGTCTTCTCATGACACCTTACACATGTCCGTCGATATGACCTTTTCTCTAGAACATCATCTTTATCAAACCTCATGTTAACTTCAGCAGCATATGTGGACATCTTAGTATTTTGGTAGTTCTTCTAAAACTCGAACAACAGTTTAAACTGCTTGGTATACTCTTCGTAATGATAATACTTCTCCAACTCATCTATAACAGCACTTAATCTGGCACTGTATTTTCTTCGGTTCCTTCTTTCCTCCAGCCTATCGTTCTTGAATTCATCTATGTCTTTATTCGGAAATAAACACTCCAAAAACACTCCATATTTATATTATACAAATTTCTTACTAATTTGATTAATTTGTGGCGTCAAACCATTCAGTTCAACCTCCAACCGTTCTATGTCCTTGCTCATGAGTTCAATATCAATTTCATTCGCTTCTATTCTCCGCCCGCATTGATCGGGTGTTCTTTTATGAACGGCCGGGTGGGCCAGCAATTCCTTGCGAGGGCTTTGATACTTTCAGGTGGCGAACCACAAGAGCATGCCACAAAGAGTATAAGAAGCACGGTCTTTGACAAAATGCGCCTGCCAGCTCCTTCCAAACCCCGAAATCCTTACGATAACCGCTAAGGATCCTGTTTTTGTTTGCGCTAGCGAAGCCTTGGCTCAGAGGGCGGCACCCTGCTGGTTTCCGCTTCTGGGGTCGGAGCCGCGCAAGAACCACCGTCGGCCAACGTCGTGCCGCGCTGGGTCGAAGAGGCCTTGTGCTCCAGATGAGTCAGTCTTCCGACGCCTGCCACGGATCCGAGTTAGCCTTCCCTCCAAGCAAGCAACTTACAGATATGTCCGTCCGCAGGCTCCAAGCTTCCTTCCGCCTACGATATCCCTCTAAGCTGGGAAAAAGCAAGCGCTTCCCAACAGGACGGCAACGTCTAGTCATGGCAGGGCAATTGGGGATGCTACGTGTATCTCGCACACAAAACATTGTCACCAGAGTGCGCGAGTGTCGCACGTGGCGTTTCATGTTTGCTCCCGGTGATTGGATTAAAATGTTTGCAACGGAACCGGATACTTCCCCTGAGATGCCAATACCGTCCACAAATACCATGGACAACAGAAGAAGGCCAAACACCTATCTAATTATGGCCAATTTCGCAATTTTCAAATACTGGTTCTTTTGCGTGTGCCTTTGTGTTGTTACCCTTTAAGCACAAGCCAAAACACACAACCCATCCCAAACTGATGTAGCACCGTCCTGACAACGCCGGCAGACTTTCAGGGCGACTTGTCCCGCACCATTCGCGCACCAAGATAGAAACCGATTCTGGCTGCCAGCGTACCGGATGTTGCCCTTGATCATGATCAGTTGTTCACGAGCACTTTGGCCGATGAGCTTTGCCAGATCCAAGCCACCCAAAAGCCAACATTTCTGGTCCAAAGTCAGGCCCTTGGGATACGGATCGAAAGTACTTACACTAGCGAAGACCCCGAACAATAAGGTTGCGGACAACGAATGCTTCCACACGAACCTCATAAATGACTTGCTTCGAAATCTCCAGTGATGCTCCGCATGTCTACCGGAAATGAATCTGTTAGGAGAGCCGACCTTTTTCGGTCGGTTCGCAGACAGAAACCAACAAAAAATTCTGCAGGAAGATGAACTGTCGTTTATGGAACGGACGGGTGGGAGAAAAACAAATTTCACACCAATCTTTTTGCCCAAATGGCGACCGTATGCAACATGTTGAAGCAAGATCGACTAATCGTATGCAACATGTTGAAGCAAGATCGACTAATCAAATCCCACGGAGCCGATCGGTGAGTGATTTGTCACTTCGCAGCACACACAACTGTGCTACACGACAGCGAATGATTCCACAAAAAAATCATAGATTTTGGCATGGAATATTTTCCAATTGCCCTCGCATCGGTGGCGAAGTCTGCGGTATCTGACTTCATTCAAAGTCCTCAGCAATGCTTCGTGTGAAAAACGGAGGAAACCACTTGACTCTCGGTCGCAAAGCAGTGGGCAACCAATCGTGGATCGAAGCAATGCAAGGCAGCTGCAAAGGCAGGGCAGCAAGCAAGAGGTTCGGAGTTTGCAGTAGGTTAACTGCATAGTTAGAAGACACAGTCAGGGCAACCCTCTCACTGACCGCCTTTTGCTGGACCTGTCACGAAGACGGTCTTGAGCAGTCATGCTGCGAATGTGGAACAAAGTTGACGTGAACCCGAGCAAGTGCACAGGGCGTACGTTTCCACAAGTCGTTGACAAATCATCACCCCCCCCCCCCCCGACGCGAGCTCACGCGTGAGGAGAGTGGGTTGAGCAGGGTCAACCGAGCTCTGGTCGTACATCTGTACATCGAGCCAGGTCTCTTTTCAGTTCTTTCAAAGCTTAAAGCAAAGAGACCATAGATGTGGGTCCCCCCTTGTGACTTGATCATACCTATGTTCCGTTCCATTCGGTACACTCGCAGCCATTGATCGTAGCGTAGGCTCATAGCGATTTGCCGTTAAGCGCAGGCAAAACGGATGAACCCATGTTGATCACGATGCTCGCAGCATCGAGTGTCAGTGAAAAGCGGGAGACACACGAGGAAAACTCCATGGCTAGCCGCTGCACCCCTGTGGGTATTCTCAGCTTCGGAAAGGACAAGGATTGCTGAGGAAGCAGCGGAAGTCGCATCCGCACATAGCCTCACCATCAGAATCTTCTGAACCACCACCGACGGTAGTACTTTTTCGAGGTGGCGAACAGATTCAACCGGATCCGAGAGTCAAGACACTACGCGTCGCTGCGTGAAAGGCACGGGCGGCTACCTATGAGTTTTGGGACCTGACTACGCGTTCGCCCGCCCCGTTGTCGTCGGGACTGGCCGCCGCCCTGATCCAGCTTTCCTCTTCCTTCATGTCCTTTTCCTTTTCCTTTACGGTGTTTTCCTTTGTCTTTCGACTTCCCTTCGCCAGCGGGGCGAAGACTAGTTTCATCGTCGTCAGCAAATCGTTCCCGAGATGGGCCCGGTCGGGCCTTCTGCACAGGGGCCGCGGTGGTCGCAACACCTGCGCCCGTAGAATCGGCAGATTCGCTGAGCGCGTTGGATTGCATAGCAGGACCAAATAAATTCACGTCTTCTTTCTGCCGCACGTCAACC